ATGGGGAAAGGAGAGCCTCTTCAACAAATGGTGTTGAACAATGGATTACCTACATAAAAAATAAAGTTGGATCAATCTCTTGTGACATAAAAAATATTTTAAATAGATTAAATACACATAGAAAATATAACTAATAAAACCCTTAGAAGAATATATAGGAAAAAAGATCATGACATTAGTATTGGCATTGTTTTCTTGGATATCACATCAAATGCAAAAGCAACAAAAAAAAGAAGATGGGACTTCATCAAACTTCAGAATTTCTATACATCAAGGAAATATTTAGTGGAGAGACTATGCCACATACCAAATGGGTAAAAATATTTGTACATCATATACATGACAGGAGTTAATAATATTCAAAATATATTAATATAAACAACTCTGAAAATCCAAAAATAAAAAGTTAATAACCTGATTAAAAAATGGACAAAGAATTTAACTGATAGTTTTCCAAAGAAGATATACAAATGGCCAACAAACATTTGAAAGGATACTCACAATTAATAATTTTTAGAGAAATCCAAAGCAAAATCGCATTGAAATATCACCTCATACTCAGAATAGGCAATATAAAAACCTTGTCAAAGATGTATAGAAATTGGAACCTTTTCGAAATATTGGTGTTGCAAAATAATGCAGACACTTTGAAAAATGTACAAGGGTTCCTTAAAAAATTAAAAATAAAAATTAACAGATGATACAGAAATCCCCCTTCTGGGTATCTACCCAAAGTATGTAATGCAGAATCTGGAAGTGACATGTGTGCAGCCATGTTCATTTCAGCATTATTCACAAAAGCCAAGAGGCATAAGCCACCCAGATGTCCTTCGATTGCTGAACACATTAAAAAAATATGGTATATAGACAATGGAATATTATTCACCATCCAAAAAGAAAATCTTAGGCCAGGTGCAGTGGCTCAGGCCTGTAATCCTAGCTCTTTGAGAGGCCAAGGCAGGAGAATTGTTTGAGGCCGGGAGCTCAAGGCCAGCCTGAGCAACATAGTGAGACCCTGTCTTTACAAAAAAATAGAAAAATTAGCTAAACATAGTTATGTGCACCTATTGTTCCACATACTCACGAGGCTGAGGAAGGAAAACCACTTGAGCCCAGGTGTTTGAAGTTGCAGTGAGCTATGATGACACATTGCACTCTACCCCAGGCATGAGAATGAGAACCTGCCTCCTGTCTCAAAAAATGATGGGGGGGGGGGGAAAGGAAAATCTTGGCACATTCTATGATAAAAGCAAACCTTGAGGCTATTATAGTAACTAAAATAAGCCAGTTACAATGTTAGATAGTGTATGATTACACTTAATATGATGTATCTTAAGTAGTCAAACTCACAGAAACAGAAAGTAGAATGAAGTTTGTCAAGGGCTAGAGAGAGGGTAAAATGGGAAGTTGGTACTTAATAGGTATTGAGTTTTAGTTTTGCAAGATGTAAATTTCTAGAGATCTTGTGCATAATAATGTAAGTATACTTGCTACTCCTGAAATGTACATTTAGATAAACTTAAGATGGTAAATTTTATGTTATATGTTTTACCAATTAAATTTTTTAAAAGGATAACTAAAATAGTTGTCAAGCTTTTCAAAAATTACATTCAAATCACAAAAGTGCTTCTCTCACACCAAGATAATATAGATTCATCAATAAATATTGATACATGGTAAATTTAAGACTATTTCCATGACTACTCACCCAGACAAGACAAAACCGCCATTGAAAATCAGCCAGGATAGGTTTATCATGACAGTGAAGGCGGCCAGAGATGCAATACATACAGTTTTATAAACTAGGGGATTTCCTGTTTCCATATCGGACACACGGACAGGTCAGAAGCGAGTAGAGTGGCACCAATTAGATCTTCTTTCTTGGACCAAGTGACAGGATTTCCAGGTGAACACAGGCAACTGGATGGACTTTCTAGCACTCTTCCCAAAAATGTGCCCATTCAGACAGTCTTATAGATGCAAGTAAAGACAGCCAGCTAGAAGCTTCCATCAGAGGCTCTTTGCAAGAGACACATTTTGATTCAACACAGACAAAACAGGGTAGCCACTCAGTAGCCACTCTGATGAAGAATCTGAATCTGAACTTTTTTCTGACAGTGAGGAATTCATATCTGTTTGTGGCTCCAATGAAGAAGAGAAGGTAGAAAACCTTGCCAAGTCCAGAAAGTCTCCCATAAAGATTTGGGGCACAGAAAAGAGAACAGAAAGCCATTAACTCAGCCCCCTGCCAGAACTGAGCCTGGAATAGCCACAAACCACCAAGCATTATCAGCTGTGGATTCAGATATACTAGAGATGTCACCTGAAAAATCAGATGGAATATAGTGGAAGGGGTAGATATAAATGCACCAAAAGCACAGCTGATGTTGTGGTATCCAGATTGAAAAAGTGAAGACTTTCATGCAGAGCAAGCTAAACTGCTAGCTTTGGTGAAGCATGTCCAGTGTAAAGGATATTTGAGTGAACATGTTGAACTTCTCACCAACTTCCCTCCAAGGAAACTATCTCATCTGGACTATGACATTATGTTACAAGAGGCAGAGCTTTGTCCTTAAGAGACTGCCTTTGTGCAGGAAGAAATTAACACCATGGACTGAACTCTCTCAGCTTACCCCTCTTTTCCTTTTTCCTGTCATACCATATCACTAAGTATGCATTTTCGCTCATGGGACCATAGAGCCAAAGTTGGGCAAACAAGTCATCTGCCTTCTTTTTTCTTGTTCTCTCCTATGATCAGTCTCTTTCTACCTCTTTTTTTCCTTTTCTCCTCTTTTTCCCCCCACCCCCAGCTTACTTTTTTCTTACCTAATATGGTGACCAAATAGAAGTGTAAGGATAAGATCTCTCCTAGAACTAGCAGCAAGAAATGTGTGTTCCAATAAGTGGTCTCTTCCACAGCACTTCTTGGGGATCAAACGTTACTCTCCAGACTCCTTTGGCAAAGGAATGGCTAAATTCAGCATATGAACAAACTCCCTTTTAGTAGGGAAAAGAAGTTCTATAACATTTTGTTTTCTTTTGTTCTTCATGTAGGAAATATCATAGAACAAAATGTTTAGGCTTTGGTTTACATAGAAAAAGCATCCTTTATCATTATTAATCATATTTAAATTTTTTTAAAGGATTCCCATCTTTCCAGCTATAAGAATTATTTCCATTGTATCTGTTATTAGCAGAATGAGTGTTAAAAGTGGAGTGTGTAGCCTGGGGTAGCTTTCAGTGTCCTAGCCTGAGTCGGTTTTCTTTATTATTACTCTATTAACTATATTGACCCAGCTGGTCCTACAATGAACATTTAGTGAGCACATTGTGGTGACTGGAAAAGGAATGTGCTTGCTGTTTTTGCCAGTACAACATATCAGTTCCTTTGACCCCTCCATTGTCTGGGTCCAGTGATCTACAGGAAGGTAGCTGGTCAATAATCATGCACAACAGTGGCTTATAATTGTGACCACTATGGTTATTGATTGTCCTGGGTTCTTTAAGGCATACTAGGTATGCCCTTGGGGAAAAAGAAAATGTGCAGGTGAGAGTTGCTAACCAAGTTCGTTTGGTTAGAAATAATGATTCACTCTTTCCTCCTGGTTGGAATAGTCTCTAAAAGTCCCTGTTTACTGAATGAGCACAATTCCTGATGCTGTTTTCTTTTAAAAGGTATCAAAACTGAAAGCCTCTCTGAGGGCAAGATCTTTCAACTCAATTCATAAGAAAATAAAAGTAAGAGGGGTGGTGGAGATTACCAGTAATCTTGAGATGTAAGTTTTTTGTGCCAACAAAATCTACATTCAAATTGTAGTTAGTGAAAGATTTGTTCAGTAGTTTTTAAAAGATGCCATCTTGAATCTGTATAATACTATTCACATACCAGTTTCACTATATATATGCCCAGTTCTTATTTTGTGAATAAAATAGAGTTCTCTGAAGGAGTAGTAATAATTCTGGTGATAAAAATCTGAACTTTAACTTGTAAAATCATAACATGGAATGTACCTATTTTGTCAGTTGGGGATTTAGATTGAATCTTCTACTTGAGGAACAGAAATTGCTACTGCACAGAGACCTTTAAGTTCCCATCTACTTTAAGATTTCTCTCTTGGCAACTAGGGAATTGGGGCGGGAGAACAGGCTATGTGTTGCTCATACACAATGACAGAATATGGTTTCTAATGGCTGGATTTTGAGGGATCCTCCCTAAAGAATGAGTTATCAATTTCTTTCTTTTTTTTTTTTTTTTTGAGACAGAGTCTCACTCTGTTGTCTGGGCTAGAGTGCCATGGCGTCATCCTAGCTCACAGCAACCTCAAACTCCTGGGCTCAAGCGATCCTTCTGCCTAAGCCTCCCGAGTAGCTGGGACTACAGGCATGCGCCACCATGCCTGGCTAATTTTTTTTATATATTTTTAGTTGGCCGATTAATTTCTTTCTATTTTTAGTAGAGGCGGGGTCTTGCTCTTGCTCAGGCTGGTTTCGAACTCCTGAGCTCAAACAATCCGCCAGCCTCGGCCTCCCAGAGTGCTAGGATTACAGGTGTGAGCCACCGCGCCCGGCAGAGTTATTAATTTCTTCAAGAAATCACAGAAAATTCTGTTTATTCTTCAGTGAGTCCTTTTGATTTAATGTTCTTACATTTTTTCTAAGTCTATGTAAGTGCTTATGTGTAAGTATATAATTGTATAAATATTTACATAATTAGTTTCATTTATACCTTGAGTCAAAGTTCTCTCTTTAGATTGGTGACTGAGTAATACCACTTTGGTGTCTTTTCACAGGCTCTGGAGGCTTAATTAATAGTTTCTGATTTATTGAGGAAACATGGTTTTCATGTTAATTCCTCAATTGTATCTCTGAACTTGGATAACATACTTGCTATTTGAGGAATAGAGCCACATAGTATCAAACGTGCACTGGAGGATAAAAAATTTGTTGGTACTGGACACGTCAGAAATTTAAAAATGAAGAGAGGCACATTGTTAAGAAGGTTATGCTCGTTTTTGTGCTCTGATGGCATCCACCTCCACTCCCAGCAAAGTCACAGCTGAAGCCCAATAGAGAAAGTATGTGAAGTCAGAAATTTTTCCTATAGGTCTCTATATTTCATTCTCTTGCCTATTAGCTTCTCTTGATAAAACATATCAAGAAAACCTGAGACATGTTCATTAAAGAGAATATAGTTCTTTTTGCTTTCCTCAGCACTTCCATATTCATTTATGAGAAACCAAAGTGACTTTTTCAACTTGGGTTACTGTGAGATGATTAAATATATATAAAGTGATTCAAGACACAATATGATACATTCATCCAACTTAATACAACTGGGATGTTTAGAGTACAAAGGTGGAGGGTTTCATTTTATTTTGAGGCAGGAGTATAATTATCATGGGGTTGATGCAGAGGCCCATAAGGAGGAGTTATGAGTTGTACATGGGAAGAATAAATAAGGAGTATTGCCTTGATCCAGAACTTATCCCACTTACGTAGTATACTTCTTCCAGTTTGCCTTATTTCTTCTGCAGGTTCCTTTGCTCTTTGGGTGAGAGATTTTATTGAATAGATTAAATGAAATCAGTAAGGTTAAAAACCATTCCTTATAGGTTCTGTAAATAGCCTGGAAGAGAGTTTAAAAGATAGGGAGAAAAAGAACAAGGAAGACTTAGAGAGTGATGAGAAGAATACAGGGAGATAGAATGAAAACTAGTGGGAAAAAATGAGAGGCATAATTTTTTTGAATTTCATTTAGGAAGGAAGAAGAGAAGAGAAAGAACAGTGTCCAGTGAGGGAAGAACAGGGAACTAATTTTAAGTAACTGCCATGTGCTAAGTGCTTTATGTGCATTTTCTCCATTAATCTTTCTAAAAACCTTACAAAATGTATATTTTCCCCACTTCATAGATAAGGAATAAAACAAGTATAGAAAACTTATAGAGGATGTCATAGTTAGTAAGTGGCAAATCAGAATTGGAACCCAGAGTCCATGCTATTTTTACTTCCACAGTATGTTCTCCTACAATAGAGGAATCAATTTACCCAAATGATTGTCTTCCCATTGTTTTGCTTTGTAAATTATCATAAGTCTTGTTTTCTTAAATCTAAGGAGAATAGTTAAGAGAAAGCTTGTGGGATTTGCACTCTGACTATAAATTCTTATTTATGTCATTATTTTGAGAGGCTGATTACCAATCGCTTTTAAAAATGATGCACTCATGAAAATGTAAAAGGAAAATAACTCTGTGGCATTATTTGCCAAGAATAAATGGAAAGGATAAAAAATAATTTTGTCTTTAACCATTTTTCAGAAAAGATAAAATGATCTTTTCTGTGTACATCCATACTTGATTATTGAACCCTGTATGTGCATGTTTTACAATCTTTTATAAAATTCTACTTCCTTGACTCTATATACCAACAATTATTGAGTCATTAATCAAAGTTGGAAATATTCTGAAATATAAGATCTGATTCTTACTTGTTTTATCCAGTTAGAAGACACACTACAGATGAGATAATTGGAGAACATGTAAATGTTCACCTTTATGAGGCTGAACTACAATTACAATAGAAGTTTAGAAAAGAGAATAGCATAGGTTTCAGCTAGGAAAGTCTTCACAAAGATGTAACGCTGACAGGTGGCAAACACAGTAGTTCAAATTTTCTTTTGACTCACCTATATTCTCTAGCCATACCTTTTGTAACTATTAGATTTAGGGCATAAAGTTTGTCAATAAGAAATAACAAGTATCCAAGTAGGAAAGGATTATTGATCCCTAGGACTAAAGATTATTATCTAGCAGAGAGCTCACTTATACACTTAGGAAAAATACCAGAGGCAGCCACTAGCAACTGAAAAATTAAGGAAAGCAGATGACAATTCTAATGATTCCTTTTTGCCTAGAGTAAACTTAAACTTTGAAGTGAATCTTTTAGTAAATATGGGATTATCTAATTTACTTCTTGCATGATGTGAAATTCTAGTATATTGTTCTCAATATTTGAATCTAAAATTACAAAAAAATTATTATAGAACAAAACAGAAAGTAAAAATACATAGAGAATGTGAAATTAGCAAGATGGTGGAATATGAAGTCCCCTGCTTCTTTATATCCCCACAGCAACAAACATTTTGCAGCCATACATGGAAAAAAGTGCCTTTATGACAGCCCAGCACAGTGGCTCATGCTGTACTCTTAGCTACTAAGAAGGCTGAGGTAAGAAAATCACCCCAGTCTAGCAGTTTGAAACTAGCCTGGGTGATACAGTGAGACCCCATCTAAAAAAAGTGCTTTTATGAGAGCTTTGGGATCCAGGGATGAAGATTCCAAAACTGCTAAAGCCATAGAACAAGGAAGGTAATTTTAAGAAGTCAGGCCCTAATTCAGGTGGCAAACTTGAGGACCCCTGTTCTTGGCTACAGACCAGGAAATGGCCCAACTTGGTCCCACTGAGAATTCTGAAGTGACCATGTAGGCATCTCCAACTTCTCCCAGCCATGATCTGGTGGTAGTCTTGCCTATCAAGAGACCTGGGGAGAGATGCCCATTTGTGGTCATGGAGACAAGCCTATACAACTTGATATTCACTGTGGCTTCTGAAGCAGTTCTGTGACCCAGTTCCAGTCCACTTAAACACAATTATTGCCCAGTTCTGCCCACCCAAGGACCTATGCAGTGAAATGGAGAAAACTTCTCAGTGGGAGCCACACTGATCCATACACCTGATATCAGGCCCACCCTTTGCAGACACAACTGCAAATCCCGGCCTTACAGATCAAAGTCATGAAGGCAATTCAGGCTGTTTATGAATAAGACAGAATTCACACCTACCCAAGCCCCTGGTAACAGGCCCACACTAAAGGCAGACCTAACTGCATACCCATAAGCAGACCTGTGACCCAGTTACAACTCCTCTGATCTGCAAATCCAGAGGAGATCCCATAAGCCTGGTACCCCAAAATGAAGAACTTTACCTGCTTAAACTGGCTTATAAAAACTAGAAGAGTGTGTGCTCCTTCAAATGCACAGACAACAATGCCAGTTTATATTATACCGATTTCCAATGCCTCTATTTTAACATAGTACTGGCAATCCTAAGTAGAACTATTAGGAAAGAAAATGAAAAAAAAAAAAAAAAAGCTGTCCAAATAGAGAAAGAAGTAAAATTGTCACTGTAGATGACATGATCTTATATACAGAAAAGTATAAAAGTACATGAAAAAACTGTTTAAACTAAAATATGCACTCAGATGAAGTACAGATGAGCAAAGTATTAAACTGACATATAAATATCAGTGAATCCATATATTAACAACAAATAAAAAATGAAAACAATCTCACGTGTGATAATATCAAAATATTAATTTTTAGCAATAAATTTTATCAGGATGAAAAAGCTTTGCACTGAAAGAATATAAGATATTGATGAGAGAAATTGAAAAAGACACAAACGTAAAAATGTCCCATGTTTATGGATTGAAAGAATATATACCTTTAAAGTGCCACATAATCCAATGTGTTCTATAGATTCAATCAACTCCCTATCAAAATTTTAATGGCATTTTCTACAAATATAAAAAACACAATGTTAAAATTTTTATAGACCTATAATAGACTTTTTTTCTTTCTTTCTGTCTTTTTTTTTTGGACAAAGAGTCTCACTGTGTCGCCCAGGCTAGAGTGTCATGGCATCAGCCTATCTCACAGCATCTTCAAACTCCTGGGCTCAAGCAATCCTCTTGCCTCAGTCTGCTGAGTAGCTGGGACTACAGGTATGTGCCACCATGCCCGGCTATTTTTTTTTCTATTAATATTTTCAGTCGTCTGGCTAATCTTTTCTATTTTTAGTAGAGATGGGTTCTCACTCTTGCTCAGGCTGGTCTGGAACTCCTGACCTCAAGCAATCTCTCACCTCAGCCTCCCAGAGTGCTAGGATTACAGCCATGAGCCACCATGCCATGCCTGGCCAAACTACAATAGACTTTGAATAACTGAGGGAATCTTGAGGCAAAACAAAGCTGAAAGCATCATATTTTCTGATTTTGAGCTATATTTCAAAACTATAGCAATAAAAACAGAATGGTATATATATTAAAAATGACACAACACCAATGGAACAGAACAGAGAGCCCAGAAATTAACCCATGCTTACAAGGTCAACTAACCTTTGACAGACACAACAAGAATACACAATGCAGAAAGTATACTCTCTCCAATAATTGGTGATAGAAAAACTGGATATCCACAATCAAAGCAATAAAATTGGACCATTTTTCTTACACCATGCCCCTAAATTAACACAAAATAAAGACTTGTGTAAGATATGAATCCTTGAGAATCTGAAAAGATTTTCATACATTTATGAAAAACCTTCTTGATACTGATATTGGTAATAGATTTTTTGAATATGACACTAAAAGCATAAAAACAAAAAGAAATATAAACAAGCTGGACTCCATCAAATTAAAATGGCTTTGCACAGCAAACAATAAAATATTTATAAGATGGGAGAAAAGGTTTGTAAACCACATGTCTGATAAGAGGTTAATATTCAAATTATATAAGAAAAATAAATCAAAGGCAAAAACAATAATAATAATGACTGTAATAACCAGTTGAAAAATGGGCCTAAGACTGAACTGATATTTTCCCAATAAAGACATACAAGTGCGGGCCGGGCACGGTGGCTCATGCCTGTAATCCTAACTCTCTGGGAGGCCGAGGCAGGTGGATTGTTTGAGCTCAGGAGTTCGAAACCAGCCTGAGCAAGAGCGAGACCCCGTCTCTACTAAAAATAGAAAGAAATTAATCAGACAACTAAAAATATATAGAAAAAATTAGCCGGGCATGGTGGCGCATGCCTGTAGTCCCAGCTACTCAGGAGGCTGAGGCAGGAAGATCGCTTGAGCCCAGGAGTTTGAGGTTGCTGTGAGCTAAGATGATGCCATGGCACTCTACCCCAGGCAACCCAGTGAGACTCTGTCTCAAAAAAAAAAAAAAAAGACATACAAGTGGCCAACAGGTGTATGAAAAGGTGCTCAATATCACCAATTATCAGGGAATTACAAATCAAAATCATGATGAGATATTACTTCATTCGTACTTGTTAGGATGGCTAATATAAAAAAGAAAACAAGTTTTGACAATGATGTGAGGAAAAAGAAATCACTATTGGTAAGTTGTAAATTGGTAGATTCATTTTTAAAGCAAGTGTGGAGGATCTTTAAAAAAAAAAATAGAATAACCATACAATTCAGCAACCCCACTTCTGTGTATATAATCCAAGGAAATAAAATCTGCATCTCAAATAAGTACATGCATTCCCAAGTTCATCGCAGAATTATTCAAAATTGCCAGTAAATGAAAACAACTTACATGTTTGTGAATGCTGAATGGACAAAGAAAATGTGGTGTGTATACACAATAGAATATTATTTGTTTATAAAAATATTATTCAACCATTTCAACAACATAGATGGACAGGGAGGACATTACACTAGCTGAAATAAGTCAGGTACAGAACGACAAATATTGCATGATCTCCCCTATATGGGGAATCTAAAAAGGTTGTACTCATAGAAGGAGAAGGTGCAAAGGTGGCTGCCAGCACCTGAGGTGGGGAAAATGAGGAGATATTGTTCAAAAGGTACAAACATTCATTTATATAATACAATGAATAAGTTTTGTGGACCTAATCTATAGCATTGTGACTACAGCTAATAATAACGGTTTTTATCTTAAAAATCTGCTATGACAGTAGACCTTAAGTTTCTGACTACCAACAAAAGATAACTGTGAGGTGTTAGATATGTTCATTAGCTTGAATGTACTAATCATTTCACAATGTACACACATATCAAGTCATTACACTGTATACAATAATTGTATAGTTATACAACTTTTATTTGTGAAGTCCGTATCACAGACATATATACATATATATATGTGTGTATATATATATGAGTGACATAGTCCCAGTAAGCTTCATACTAAAAAAGAGAAAATTATAAAATGATAGTTATTAAAAAATAAAGTAAAATGCAGAGTTCAATATAGGCTGAGCAATATTCTAAGGTGCCCAATGACATAAAATATTTAAGAAATGTAGGGAGTAGATATATTAAACTATATTAAAGTTGAGGAATTTTGGTGTGTAGAGTTTATTATTCATCACAGTCCACACTAAAACAGAATTCAGAAGTAAAATAACATTAGATTTTATTCTATTTAGGGAGATACTTAGTGTTCTGATAATATTACTGAGTATGAATTTCTGTAGAATCACATTTAACACTTCCACAGGATAGGAAACAATAAAGCAGAAAACACAACATTTGCTTGTGGTGTTCTGGGATTTCTGAACCAAATACCAACACCACCACTACACTAAGACATTTCAGATATGATGCAAAAAGGGAAGCTAAAAAATAGTTTGTCGTAGAGTTCCTCAGAAATACATGGATATTCCCATCTCTTGAAAAGGAATGGAAGAGCAGTCACATCCTGTGGTCCCTTACTGGCCATGAAAAGGACTCTGACTCTCACTGTAAATGTAAAGGAAGATCACTGAAGATCACTAAGTCAAGTCCTTAGATAACTTAAGGGCAAAGGCAAGCGATGCCTATTTCTGAGATTAAGAGAAAGAAACACAGGCTTCTCAGAAACCATTTCCATTGGAGCAGAACTGCCCAAACCACAATTTAAAGTCTGGCTTTCTCTTTGACCTCTCACCTATGTCATCTGCTTCACTCACTCCAACCTACCTGGGTTTTCTGCTACAGTTTCACGTCTCTTCACATTCCAGGGCCCTTTCCTTTGCTCCAGAAAGGTGATCAGGTCTGGCTTAAAGACAGCAAGATCTGTTTTATGAGAAAAAAATGACATCACTCTTGCTAGGATTTTTCAATTATCAACCTAGTATTGTGCTCAGTAGAAAACAGAGAACATTATATAAGATTTTAGAAAATTAATCAAAAAGTACCATTCCCTGATGGAAACTTTAGAATATTTAGGAAATATTTAAAATTTGTGGGTCTTGGCCAGGTGTGTTAGTTCACGTCTGTAATCCTAGCATTCTGTGAGGTCAAGGTAAGACAATCGCTTGAGGTCAGGAGTTTGAGACCAGTCTGAGCAAGAGTGAGACCCCATCCCTACTAAAATTTAAAAAATTAGCCAGGGATGGTAGTACACACCTATAGTTCCAGCAACTAGTGAGGGTGAAGCAGGGGGATCACCTGGTCCCAAGAGTTTGAGGTTGCAGTAAGCTATGATGACACCACTGCACTTTAGCCAGGGTAACAGAGCAAGACTCTGTCATAAAAGCAAAACAAAACAAAACCAAAATAAAATAAAATAAAATTTGTGGGTTGTTATCTCTATTATCCAGCACTAGGGAATCAAAAACTGATGGTGGAAATTTAATTTTAAGGAGTAGATAATATTTTATGCCCCAAATTTCTGAAATTACCACTAATCTAGAATGAAGGATACAGATCAGCTCAAGAATGGGTAAGATTAAAGTCAAGACAAAACATCTTGAAGATTTTTCCTACACAACAAATCCCCAAGAATTCCTTGGAAACAAAGATTTAAAATTAATTCATATAAAACAGAAACTCCCGGAAAACTTCCTACAAAGGAAGGATATGAAATTCTTAGTGTGGAATAGAAATTGCGTATTGAAGTTATCCTCACCCAGGGAGACCAGGTTTCTGTAGTTCTCTAACATCACATCTCTATACAAATTCCACTGAGCAGGTTCCAGGCATGCCTGCTCTTCTGGAGAAAATGCTATGGTCACATCCCTGAATGTCAACAGTCCCTGAAAGAAAAACACATATTTACAAAGTGGCTATGGGAAGACTTCTTAATTTGGTTCCAGGTGAAATGAGAGAGGGAAGATAACAGTTTCTTAATTATATGAGTGACTGGAATTATTCAAAAAGACAATTTTTAACACAAAAATATTCTGTAAGATATTCCATAATGCTGAGGAATGAAACTGACATAAGAACAACAAATCCAGTGTAGGTACTATAGTTTTCTGGATGACACAGTATAAACTTCAAGGAACCAAAACAGACATTTACATTTTTATGTTCTACATTACATCATGCAGGATAAGTTGTGTATATATTTCAGATGGAAAAGTCATGCTGAGGTAAAAGGTACCTCTCAAACTTTAATGTGTACAACAATGAAGTGGAGATATTGTTCAAATGCAGATTTTGATTCAGGAGATATGGAGTAAAACCTGAATTTCTGAATTTCTAACAAGCTCACTAGTGATGTCAATGCTTCTGGCCCAAGAGGAATGTCTTTCAAACGTCCAGTAAGTGGCAGAGCCTGGCTTTACTCCAGTTCATCTGACTATAAATAAATACGAGTGCCTTCATTTTCCAAAGCAAGCTATGTGCAAAGAAAATCTAAACAGAAAGGCAGCTTCCAGATTAAAAGTGATAGTTTATGCACATCAGTTGGTAAATCCTCACAAATTACCTATTAATAGCTAAGAGAAAAATAATTAACTCTACAGGGGAAAAAATTCAGAGAGAACCTTAACCAAGTGAATAAAATTAATATGAACTATAATAGGACAAATTAATATTAGGAGCCAATGGACGCAGACACAACAACACTAAAAGCAAACTAAAATGAATGGAAACTATATATCATATCAATATAACCACAAAGAGAAAAGTTTAGTTGTCATGACTTTAAAGCACAGTATACTAGAAAGAGATCTTCAGTGGAGTATAATATTCTATTTGTACCAGACATTAAAATAATGTAACTTCCAGGTTCTAGAAACTGATGCCAACCCCACAAGCACAGAAAGCTTTCAATGTGTTTCTATGATGTAGCATACTTGACAAAAAAACTGAATAAAGTCAGCACAAGATAACTTGAAGTTAACCACAAATGTGAAAATAGGTACTGAACTTCTAATAAAATAAGATTAAATTTCATTAAAAATATTTATGTGTGTATCATATTGAAATGCAAACATACCTGAAGATGTAAAGTGTTGTTATATTAAGTTAGTTTAGGAGATGAAAATAGTGATGATTGTCCATGATTATGAAAACAGCATTGTCTAAGAAGATATTTATTTATATCTACATATGATCTGTTTGTTTATTTTCTATCCATACATCCATAAGATGTATGAGAAAGAATGCACTTAAAATAAATGGGAGTGTCTGATAAAAGATGCATTTGAAATGTATGATAAAAGTTAGATTACTACATGGTGTCCAGAGACTTGTATATCAACTTAGAAAATATAAAATGAGATTATTTCTGCAAATCTTTCAGATGATTTAAGAGAATATGCAAAAACAAGCTGTAGTTATGATTATGACCTGACAATATGGGAGACAATGTTCATTTCCATGGAGAATAGAAGTCCATTTTAAAATAGACACAAAATATAAAAGTATCATTGAAAAGGCTAATAAATTAGATGATCTCAAAAATAAATATCTCTGTGCTATTGTATAATAACTGGATCTATGAACAAATTTCAATGATCTCCATATGTTTTTATAATCCTCTTCCTCTCATTTTATAACAGATTCCCAGTTCAGTGGGGCCTGAAGAAGAGAACCCTGTAATTTTTAACTTAACCTTTTTGAGTTGTTTCCCAGAAATGGCAGATTTTCTGCAAGACAAAGTCCCCTGTGCAGACTTCCTGATGGCAAGACTCACCATCCCTCACTAACCAGCTCCAATGCATGTAGCACCTCATCTATTTTGACACAACCTATATGCCCCAATGCACACAGCCTCTTGTTAAAAAAACTTGCTCCGTCTGTGAAGTGGGAAGTGGAAAAAACCAAAAAAAATCTCTCCTTTATGACTTGGAGGAAAAAAAACATAGGAATCATTTTTTTCTAACAAAATCTGGTATTCTCCACACTGTGGCCTTTTTGGGCCCCAAATCTATAGACATACCTGGTCCGATTTTTTCAAACCTAATTTTACTTATTTTTCACAAGACCTTTTCAAGAAGCTCTACTGAGTAATTCTTGAAAATGTATAATCTGGTTTACACTTTAAAAAGAATTTCCCCAGTCTGAATAATATGAATTGACATATGATGCTTTCCCACTAATTGCAAAAAAATAAGTCAGAAACCTCATTTCATGGTAATCATTCTCATTTGTTTGGTGTATTTTGCAATTATTTGTGAATACTCAGGAAGCCTCCCAGATAAGAGCACACTAAGACCACAATAAGCCTACTATGATACTAAAGATATTCCTACTTTTATGTAAACAAAAGTATTATTTATTTTGAAAGCCTCTATGGATTTTCTTAATCTACAGTTTAAAACATAAGCATAGGTAACTCTATAAACCAGTTTACAGACCAAAACACATGTAAGGAATAATTACCCTGCATATAAATTTCCCCTGTAAAAGAAAATACCTCTCACAGTTCCATTTGCCCCTTGGCAGAAGGGAGAATATAGGAAAGCTTAGTAAAAAGTTACAGGGAGTGGACATCAAATCAGAAAGTTTGAAGTTCATGACTACTAGGACAGGGGAGTGGAAAGGCTCTCAGTGAAAAAGGAAACAGGCCTGGAAAGGAAGTGACCTGCTCAAGTTCATGCAGGTGCTGCTTCCCATCACTGGCATCACCACCTCAGTTCTGTCTCCTGTCAAATCCGTCACTTTCTCCTATCACCCCTCCTCCATGGCCTAAAGTTCTACTCTTTTTCACATTTAACTCTACATTCTCTTCTATTAGCTGTATGCACGTGTACCTATGTAAGTTATACATTGTGTCTACACGTATGCATACATTTATACATATGTTTGTATATTGTCTACATGGTACCTAATTAACCTAAAAATAAATGAGTGCTCATAAATTAAATAAATAAGACCAAATATTTTCCAATTTCACATGACTTGAGTAAATATTTTGGTCAATATGACTAGTTTAATATGGTTAGTTTAATAAAAACAATTATGTCTTCTGACGTATCAGCAAAATACTCATTCACTTAACTTTAAGGTTATTGCTTTTATAATACTTGCCTAGCAGAGTAATATAAAAACGATTATAATAAAAAGTTTAACCTGAGATGATGGCTAGATTTTTCTTACGTCTTGTGAGATTTTACAAACATAATTGTTAACAATGAATAAAGCAGACATAAATGGAATGGAAGTTTATAAATGGACTTATAATAATAATTATATTTCATAATATGTTTATTTAAAAATGTTTTTCAAATATTTTTCATAACTATACTCCTAGAGTTTTGCAATGGTAAATTAAATGATGAATATTCATTGAATATGTAGATCATTTCCAAATAAGATATAATGCTAAGACATTAATAACTAAATATGAGTTTAAGCTTATATACATTTGGTTTCTTATTTCAAGGATAAAATATATTTAGATGTGTTAGTAAATATGTTCTTTTATACACTGAAAAATTAGTCCATTACAAAGGCTATTCTTCTAAACATTATAAAATGCATATTAATAAATTATTAGTAGGTGAGTCACAGTTAAACTTCCCTACTTATATTTTCGCTATGAATTAAAGTTACTAAGACTTAAAATTCTTACTAACATATGGTAACTAAAACTAGAGAAAAGAAGAGAAGTAATTCTACATGCAGTGTGTACAAATAAGATATATGTTTTTGTGCAAAAGGTTATTGAAATTAGATAAGGATGGGATTTCTGGTTAAAAAAAGTAACTGCCTAGTTCAGAAGTTATTTGAACGTTGAATTCAATTGGAAGAAAAAAATGAAAGAGATAAACTGAGTGGGTATAGAAAGTTACAGAAAAAAGACAATGGAAATATTATAAGAGATTATAAAAGGTATATAGAAATCTTATCTTGTGTGGCCAAAGCTGATTGAGTTTGGATAGATTTGTTTATCAGGTTTTATTAAAATTAGCTTTAATATTAATAATACAGAAATTCAAGGGTAAAATTTGGCTTTCTCTTAAACAAGATTTTCATGAAGTATTAATTGGAGATAATAAAAGTATTTGCTTCACCTTTTCAGTACACTGTAAAAAAAAAGAAAAAAGAAAGAGAATGACCAAATTTCTTAGTTGAATTTTTGTTTAACTATGATCCTCTACTCTTTTCCTATTCCTTCTTGGGGATTTCCTTCTGAGCTTCACAGAGACTGAGAAACTCCTTTCAACTGGTCAAATAATTCAGTCTATTTGTAACATGTGACCAATTTCTCAGCATTTCTATTGTGGATACTACCCTCAGTCCTCCAGACCAATGGAATATATAAATGAGGCACTACAACATAAACTGACAAAGTTTACAGAAACTTTTAACCTTCTCTGGACTAATGCTCTTCTATGGTATCTTTAATATATGTTCTAGGCCAGGCACAGTGGCTCACGCCTGTAATCCTACCACTCTGGGAGGCCAAGGAAGGAGTATCTCTAGAGGTCAGGAGTTTGAGAGCAGCCTGAGCCAAGAGTGAGGCCCTGTCTCTACCAAAATTAGAAAAAATTAGCCAGGCATGGTGGTGCACACCTATAGTCCCAGCTACTTGGGAGGCTGAGGCAAGAGGATTGCTTGAGCCCAGGAGTTTGAGTTTGCTGTGAGCTAGGCTGACACAACTGCACTCTAGTCCAGGTGACAGAGCGAGACTCTGACTCATAAAAAAAGAAAAAAAATATGTTCTACCCCCTTTGGAAAACATTAGCTTCCTCCCTTCAAAATAACAACAGAAAAGCCCATGCACCTGCCTTAAGTAGCACATAAACAAGATCTCCTTAAAGGTGATATTCTTCATTATCATGACTTCAACCTAGAAGTT